GTACCTCTGGTTCCCATGCGACATTCAACTGACGTGGAGAATAGGTCTCCAAATCAGTCATTTATGAGATAAATTCATTCTGTGCTAGAGGCACTGCCACAAATTGCTTCAAATTTGAGTATCAACCATCATGGTCGTTGCCTTATTATGGGAATGGTCTTAAAATACGATTTTGGGAATGTGTGCGTCCTTAACAATAGTTTAATACATGGTGGATGTGAAACACTGCATTCCCGTTTTCGCAAATTAATCCTATTAGGGGAGTAAGTAAAAGCAATTGCTGGAGCTGAAAAATTGATCTTAGATCTCTATTAAAATTCACTTAGAAAGGCTTGATTTTAAGCTATTTTAAAGCATTAAAGTGCCAGTAGGAGTTTTTTAATTCTTCAGCATATGTGCCTTGAATTTTCTTGTTTCTTATTTTAACGGACGGTAAAAACTGTTATGTAAAAGCATGCATTACATTCGTGGCAAAAAGAGTTCACGCCTGGTAAACAGCACACATGGGAATCCCATTAGTCATTAAAAGACAGAAATGTACTTTTCACCCTGCATTTAACTTTTTTGAACTAGTGGAAAATGAGCTGGTTAAAATTGAGTTAGACAGGGATAGTGCTAGGTGCTCCGCTTATGTTAAAAATTAAGGTAGATTTAAATAAACTTAAATGGTTAGAAACGGCGTGTCAATAAGCATGTCATGATCTCCATTAGTATCCACATCCGAAAAACAAGTGACTTTTTTGAATTTAAATTTATCTGCACAGACAAAGGCACATTCAACTGTTTCTCGTCCCATAAACCCAGAAATCGAAAAAAAACTTCATTTAATTATACTACGGTCCGCTTGGAAAAAAGTATTTGAACAGATATTTGAAGCATTAAATTAACGAAAGAGCAAAAATCTTATGCCCAACGATGCAGCAGTATGTTCTGTTACAAATTAAGCATCAGGCATCACCAGAGCAGTGGTTTTATGAAATCACAAAACATAAGGATTCACAGAAGCTCCCTGAAAAGCTAGTCTGGTTTGCCTACAGAAGACATTAGAAGCTTTGCAAATTATATCAGAATAATCTTATGTTTCAACTTCCTAAACAGGGATTTTGTCACTTTTCCTTGCTATAATGCCTTTGCTACTATATTTACCACACACTGAAGGACTCCGTCAAGAAAACATCGCCAATTTGCAGTGCTGTGCACATTCTCGAGTAAAGTTTTTCAAGAGCCTAGTATGTCCTTCCCAAATCTTGACCAATTCCAAGAATTTAAAGCAAACAATGAGGCCATTACGAAAATATACATGCTGAAAATGTTCCGTCCGAAAGTGCAGAGTTAACTAAAGGTATACATGATAAAAATAATAAAAATAAGTCATTGTTTCATTTGATGTGACGATTGAGGCATTTTACAACCGGTAGCTCTAAAATATCGCCACTTGGTTAATTAGTAGTAACATTCATAACGGATCGGTAACCGATTTCTTTTTTGCAAGGTTTGCCAGAAAAAAATTAAGAACAAGGGTTCCTGGCTTCTGAAAGTCGGTTAACCACGTACACGCTCCTTGAGGTTAAGAAATTCTTTTCGATGTCAGCAATGCCCTATAGGGCCGTTTGTGGTGTGAAAGAATGAAAATGCGATGTAGGAAGTCAGATTAAGGTGCGAATTGGTGATAGCGCAGGTCAACAAAGAAGATCGGCAAATCCAATAAAACCAGGTAAGGGAAACGTACCCCTCATTGTTTGATTGAGTTATGCATACCTCTATCGGTAAGCTAGTTCAAGTGCAACTATTAAGCAGCATTGAGAATAATTCAGGGCATGATAAAGGGCTGCAGGGAGATGCATGCTTAATATCCACCTTCAGTTCATGACACCAAAGTGAATCTGCATTGTTGGCTTCAGTTAATTGCAGGTTTCACAAAGCGTGTCGTCTGGGATTATTTACACTTTACCACAAGACACAAAGTGGAGTTGTTAAATAATGATTTTGTACCAATTTATTTCACAGCGATGCTTTCAACTTGTCGTCAAAGCTCTCCCTTAACCAACACATCACTGGATATTTGTAAGTCATCTCAACGGATTCGTTAGGATTTTCGCATCTTCATTTTTCATGCCATACACACATTTACACAAATTACAAACACACACATACATTTATGTGTTCAAGTGTGTTTACTAGTTGTTTGTGGTATCGGATCTACCTGTACACACAGAAAGCAAATACGGCTTCACAATATCGGATCCTTGGACACAGGAAGAAAGACAAACTAATAGTAGTAAAGTACATTATCCAAACGAGACGTCTAAATACATATGGGTTAGGTAAAACAAACATCGTTTCTGTCCTTAAAGTGTTTTTTTTATTCATGGGGTCTAGAATGCATTCGGTATTTGCGTGAAAGTCGTCGAATTGGAGGCCTTTCTTTCAAACCTTTCATCTCGACGAAAAACGCAAAACACTCTTCTACTATTTCATGTCCACAACTTCAACACTCCTCAATTTCCTTCACTACGTGTTGACTAAATCACTGCAGATTTGACCATCATTGAAGTACGCAGTGGGATAGTTAAGTCTCAGTTAGTTGGCTAAGGCTGCAGCTCCAGGCTAGTTGCATGTCTCTCTCCATGCTTAATTCATCAGTCCAATTAAGAGGGACATTTAGCTGTCGAACGCAAAAGCTACACGGTTGGAGAGACGGAACTCACCACGACAAGACACATCTCACCTGCATGACTGTCAAATTGAAACCCCACTTTCAAGTTGGTTGCCTGCGAACATGACATTGTGTGGCCTGCTTTATTCGTTTCGTGTCTGACATCGTTGAGCGGCTGATGGGCTTAGACAGAAACCCAAGACCATTTCAAAACGAAACAGCGTGATCCACTTAAAGCTATAAAACTGCATGGACAAATATACCAGAACTCCGAATCGTCGAATTGGGTTCTTATTTCCTATGTGCACGTCAAATGCTCATAAGAGTCACATGAGCTGGTAAAATAGAAATTGGACTCGATTTACAGCCAGTCAAATTGTGGCTCAAAAAATTATCCAAACATGAAAAGATGCAGTGTAAATCAGATGAAGGCATTGGAGCAGACAAGGATTGTGCCAATAGGCATTACATTTGCGAACAGCAGGACACGTTCCTACTTACTAACGCAATTTCCAGTTTTCTATGACATTCCTCCAATTTAAATTAGATGATCAAATGCACTCGTGAAACCACCTCCATAAGGCTCTGAAGGGACAGAGGACCAGAAATAACACACTTGTGATGCAATGTCACTTCAAGTACATATGCAAAGCATATACGAATACCTACGAAGGAAACTGCAATAACGACGCATACACTTTCATTCACGCAGATTCTGTTCAATTCCACGTGTGATCAGTAACTTCAGGTGACAACTTAACTCCGCATGTTGTCCATGTTAGACGTTCAGCAAGACATCTTGGGAAGTGTAAATTCTACCTATAATTTCAAATACAGCCTGCTGCAGGCTGGACATTGCAAACGATTGTGCTAATCTCTGCATCATTCCACAACAAACCAAACAAACTCCACGGAACCTGAAGTATTGATATCACCTTCCTGCAGGTTGGTGCTAAAACCAGCTTTAAATGTCATCACAGGTTAGTTTATTACCTAGACGATGCCTCAGTGAAATGCCAGTCAAATTGGGCTGGCCACATTTTGACCGACAAAAATGGAGTAAATGCATTTGACCTTTCTTTAAATACCAGGTTTCGTCGTCCGCAATGCAAAAAGACGTGCCCTCATATGCCAAATTTGAATCGGCAAAACTCCTCAATGGCAACTTCCTACTTTATAGCAACATCACAAAATGTCAAAATGTTAAACCAAGACATGTTACTCAAACACAAACCCGTGACAAAACATGAAAAGTCCTGAAACCTACAAAACGATGATTTCTAGACTAAAAAATAAAAATTGCTAGGTTTCGCTTACAATATATGTGATCGATCTATTTCATCGAAATATTTAACATTCGTTGTCGGAAGGAGATTAGGAAAAGCATATAAATTAGTGCAATATGATCATTTAAAGACTTGGCGCGCTAGCAGAATTCAAAATTGACAAAATCTACAAGTTAGAGTGGCCAAAATCGTACAGGGATTCAACGATTTCAACCCATTTTCAATCAACAATGAAATTAATGGGGGTCCACACACTACCTTACAGGTAATATTGCAAATTCCTTTAGCATTTCGCATTTAATGCGAGTGCGTGAATTCGAATTTCGAAACTGCCTGCACATTTAACGTCTATTTCTTAAAAGTTTGTGTCCTGTATGTCTGTACAGGACACAAATTTCATCACTTTAATATTACCAATATCACTATGCGACCAAACATCACGTAATACTTGTAAATAACCAATTCACTCGATATTCGTAATCCACTTAACTTCCAGCTCAACTCATCCACGTATCAACATAGGTTAAATCGATATTTGCTTAACCTGCTTCTCGCAAGGTTTTCAATTCCGACGACTAATGCTGCATGCATGCTAGGAAGTTGCATGCAGGTAAACAACCACACTGCAGTTCCACCACGCCAATGATTGTTGTTTAGCTTCCACATTTGTGTGCTAGCACAACAAGTACATCGAAAATGACATTCCGGTGTGAACAGCCTCCCTTCTGCTACCAATTCCTCATGCTTAATCTACATGGCGAATCCATAGTTTGGAGTGATCAACTCCAACACAAAAGCACCTGTCTCCACTTCATTAATCGCATTTGCATGCAGTGAACACTGCAGATGAATGCGTTTTTGTTACACTCATGTTTCATCAGTCGTGCTTTTGGCAGTGGGGAGCTCAATTGGCACTCAGTACACGTCCAATGTGATTTGTTAAACTGCATTCCACACTCGAAGCCTATTTAAAAAGAAACCTGTGCTGCAGCTTTTGCTGAACTTCACTAGCCCCGTGGTAGGTGAATGTGATCAGAGCAAGGATAAATTTTCCCTGGCTAGCTCACACTAGGCATTAGCGCAGTCACAAGTCCAAACGTACGTTGTCCAATGCACACGTGGTCGCAGCACGGTCCTGTGCTGACTGACTTCTGTCCAGGCAGACACGATGACTGGCAGTGCAGCACACTGCTCTCGCAGTCTGCCGTTCCGTTCACGCAGTAGCACTTGGCACAGGGACGCACATTCGACATCCACGACTGGCCATCAAGGTACCGACTCCCTGAGTTCTCATCTCGACAGCCTAAAGTGATCAAACAGGTAGTTCACAACGCAGTTCGTACAAGGGCTTTACTTCCCCCACCAGTTAAGCTTTCACTTGGCATCACTTCTCTCCTATGTTCTGCACAGAAGCATTCTGTCTAACCAGTCACACAGTTCTCACAAATACCATGTGCATGCTTTTGAAGCAAAAATGTGGCATTGCATGTCCGAGGTAATATTTGGATGTGAGGGCACGAGCAAAGTCCGCTGGGTTATTAGGTTACTGCATAACTGGCATTGGTCTGATGCATGACATGCAGAAATCCAGCAAGGTGTTGCATCAGGATGCAAATAACACCATCTGTTTTGTAACTCACACCCATCCAACAAAACAACATCGACCCCTTATCACTCATTACTTTCCTACTACCTAAACAAACATCTTTCTGCTGGTGAGGACACAAACCTATTGGGGAGGTATCATGTCAATTCACACAACAACTCAAGTCATTTGCTGCACATTTCATGACTCATTTCCTGCACCACAGAATCGGACAAGCGGTTTACTTGATTCAACTTAGCTTTATTTCAAAATACGATTTGGTATTGCTAGCACAGCACAGAATGCAAGTTAACCAGGCTGATGCTGACATGTAGACATTAAAAAGGTGTGCCAAGAACTAGTGGATTTCTGTTCAACTACCAGGACTGCAGTCAGGAATTTCGTGTTAACGGATGCAAGGAATGGTGCGTGCGGGCACCAGTGTAACGGGGGTCCACCTCAGATTCTTGGATTTTAGGCAAATCCTACAGGGGGCACAGTTGTGTGAAGTAAATTCTAGTTTTTTTGGAAGGCGTTGACAGATTCGAGGCATTTCATGTGGCCAGGTTTGCATGTTTTCGCCTACCTTTATCTATCTATGCATTGCCTCTTCAAACCGCATATAATGTAGGCAGTTTACAATCGGACAAACGACGCGCAACACTCGACCGCAATGTGACTTCGTCATCTGAGACCAAACAACGTACCTCCTCAGATCTTGCCACATAAGACGGAAGTGTCAGCGTGCCTCCCAATGTTAAGACTACTTTTGTTCACACGCAAGCGCACACTTATTGGAGGCATGATCTCACCAGGTTTCGCCAGCACTACAACTCATTTCCCTAAACATGGCAAGTCATTACCAGCACTTTCTCTTCGCAAAATCTCACTTGTTTGCTGAGGTGTCCAACTTTAGATGGGTGAAGTCCACCGAGTAAGTCAGTCGTGGTTATTATAGTGCAGTGATGTCCCACTTGTCTATGTCCGGTGGGTTTTCAGCGCACCATCCATGATTGCTTACTCCTTTGCACAATCATTTCATCTGCACTCTTCTCTACTCTTAGTTTGGGGTATCATCATTCTCAAATGACTATCGTTTCAGTGGAATTGGATTCTAATTCACTCAAAATGCGTGCGCAATCAAAGCTATTAATTGTGCACTAAGGGGTTATGGAGACTTAAATATGGCTATCAGTAGGGCAGTGACTTGTGCAGACCACCCATAGCTATCATCCTCTTTTGGCTCGGCAGTCAACATTATTTCAGGCGAACTGACTGGTGTCATTTGTCTTGCGAATCACCTAGCCCAAAAGCAAAACACGACAAGCACTTCATGGCTGGGTTTTCGTGAACGTGGATTTTGGATTTCTCGCTGCAACGTGATTAATGTTATTGCAATCGATTCTAGACAAATCGTTTTCTCTAATCACTACAAACAAATGACTGCCTTCTGGTCTGGCAATAAATGCCTTATCATACCAGGGATGAAGCCTTTGGGTAACCAAGGGTTTTTAGGCTGCAAGGAAGTTCATCTGTCGTTCATTTTACATCCGGCAACGTTCACTTATTCCTCAACTGCGCCGTCGAAATGCAATCCGCGAAGATGACATATAAATTGACTAGGATTAGTTTCCAACATTTCTGTACCTGTATAATCTTACGGTGCTTTGGAATGGATGCTGTGTGGACGAATAACACAGCAGACGCACTTTGTCGATGCTCACTGCTTGTCACTTACATCAGGTGCACGAACGCTGCATGTGGAACACATTGGCATTAGATAAGAGGTAGTGTGTGGGCTGCAACCCTCTTGTTTCTTTCGCATGTACGATACTCTTTGAATAAATACTACTAGCCATGGTAAAAAAGAATGTTCTATTCTCAGATTAACCAAAACCAGCTCCACTATGTACCTCTGCCCACTCAGGCATCTATGCTGCAACAGCCGCATTTTATCATTTAGTGTGCAACTCACGACTTGTCTCGTCGTCCACTGCACTGAAATCTGTAAATCGCACAGGCGTTGGACAAACTGCGCTGCGGTAACTAATTGCAATCTGATTTGATACGTTTTACGGTTTATCGTGACAGTGTAACTGAAAATACAAATCCGATGATTGAGACTAGCGCTCTTTTCTGCCCCGCTTTTCACAGTTATCGTTCATGGACTGCATGTCTTAGAGTTATTCTAAACAAAGCAGTGATTCTCAGTAGTTCCACCATTCCGTGGACATTTTCATTGAATCTAAGAATCCTTAGCCTGCATATGACATCATATTTGGCTTGCACTTCATGGTTTGTGCAAATGATACTGTCAAAGGACAGCAAGGACTGTCATGCCGGTGGTTTCGACAGTTTCTGGTCTCAGTTGTCGCGTTCAGTCAGCAGCCATTGGTGCAAGTTATCGAGAGTCAGTACAAAGGATTGTTAAATGCAATACATGTGCACAACCGTGCTACATTATATCTAAGCCTTGTCCTTGTTAATATTTTAGTGCAATTATGTGCTGTATTTCACCAAAAAGTAATAAAAGAATGACAGAAGGTAAGTTTTTTATCCTCATTGTTTTCTTATACTCGTGGTTAAAGGACAAACTTTATGGAGTGTTCAGGAAATATTTTGATTACCCGCTGTCAACGTACAGCCTATTCAACTGCACCACATGCCTCAACTTACATTCACTTTTTCTGAGTTTAATGATATAAAGATGAGCACTTTGAGGTAACGTACATATGCTTTGTATTGACATTCTCGACCAGGACTGCTCTGGATAAAACCTTGTAACACTGAGGAACGTTGTTTAAGACTATTATTTTGCATTTTGTTCTTGGGACACAAATTAACTAATGCATTATTCTAACATTTTGTTGCGTCTTTGGCTCTTTTTTAATAACAAACCACTGAAAAGACACAATTTGTTTTACTAATAAACTACTTTTGAAAATCTAACAGGATCTATACAGAATAAAAAACACACTTGAATATTATACACGATATTAATGGGTCAACGTGAGATCTGAAACCTAAACAGTAAAAAGAAATTATCTAATACTATGGTTATACCAAATTTGGAATCGTCTATGCTCGTATATTGTTTATTCGATACATCTCACATTGGAATTCTCATTTGATTGTTCTAATATACTTTGGAGTCATGAATGTGTGTACAAATGCATGAATCTTACACAGATGCCGAAAGGAACCTAGCTTTGACCTGTCGATGTCGAACACTAGTACCTTCTTAGGACCTTTTTTGTAGCAACAGGGAAGTCATACTCTCCACAACATGGTTGAGCCCGTTACTAACTACGCACTTGACTGCGCGTTCCTCTAGGTGTTGTATTTCGCATACACTTGTTTTTTACGATAATGAGCTGCTTTGCGAAATATGAGATGGGGCGAATCAACCTTGTGCATCTAACTGATTCTGCCATTTCGGCTGCAACTTCAGAGCTTGAAGGTGAGTGAACAAACTACAAATTTACTCGTAAACCTGATTAATTTATTATTTGTGACCACTAGTTACACCGACAAACGGGTAATTAATTTACTGGCTTAATCAGAAACTCAAAAAATAAGTAAATATAATATGTCAGTGTGTGCTTGGTGATACTTTCTATCCAATTTCAATAACTTCGTTTGAACAAAACAATGGAATCCGCAGGTCAACAGACTAAAATGTTGACACTGCATAAACGATCCCAATGACAGATAGATTCACAAATGAGGTTTCACCCAGCAACACTTAAATGCAAGCTTGAAGACTGAAGCTTCACAGACGCCCTTTATTACTTGCCAAATTTACGAGGCTTCAAGTCATTTACTGACGTTTCATTTGACTCAGCTGTTGGCAAACACGTCTGTGCAAAATTAATCTAGGCGCCATATGTTTTATTTTAGACTCTGGATAAGACATAGATTAAGTTTATGAAACAGATCACTTGCCGCTTGTTATTTTTTATCAATTAAATCAAGGCTCCACAGGTATAGAAAAGTAATTTAATTATGAGCGAAAATAGCTACACTGTACATTGACACCGCGTTGGTATACATAGACAGAACTTATTGACATGCACATTGATTTCCCGAATTCATACGTTAATGGTAAAAATGATCCAAAATTACTGGACTATCTTAACTCAGTTAACGTGGCCGTTAAATTAACATGACCTGTGAAACCGGCCAAAGGTGTGACGGAAGCGTCAATTCATTTAATTTAAGGACGCAACCGACAATTTAAGGACGCAGACAGACGATTCACCAAAATCTGCCATTAATGGCTTGTTTCGGGGCATGTTGTCCTAAGCCCTATTCGAGGTGAACGAGCGTTTTGGACCTGCGCGGGGGATGGAGTTTCGTCGCGGGGCTGTGGGTGCACGCCCGCGTGTCCACTGTCCCTGCACGGGCGCCTATTTCGATCAACAGTGGCCGCAGTTTGTTGGCGCGTCCATGACCGCGCACTCGCGTACCAAAAGAAAAAGACTGGATTATATTTAGAAACGTGGACGCTATCTGGCTTTTGTGGTTCAAGGTGGCCCACGCAGAAGACCTGAAAGTCAATTGTCAATATGTACTTCGGTTTCTTAGTATTTAGAAACACCGAGCAACCAAACGACCTTCAGTAATGTTTGGCTTTGTAGATCGGTTAAGCTAAAATGGCAAGAGACTCTTTACTTCCAAACTAATAAAAGAGCAGCCTTCTGCTCTGATGTTCGAGGCACTGTGTAAACTTTTAAAAGCCCGAGCCATATCCAGGATTCCGAGCTGCCAATAGCTTGGCAGAACCAAGGTATTTACGGTTCCTAAATTTAAATTTTAAATTTGGATCAAAATAAATAGGATTCAATAACCGAAACGAGGTACTAGTTAGTGTATCTGGTCTCAACATCTAACGCCAAATATCATCGTGACAGCAATACCAACATCTCGAAGTCTAAAACGGTTTGCAATTTTTACTGTCCAAATGTTGTTCGCAGGTTTAAAAACGCTGTATTTAAGTTAAAAACTTTATTTTATTGATCACGTAAACTGACCATAATTTACTGTCTCTAATATCTAGTTTAAAATTTATAGCACTAAATTTAGTAAAAGACCTTCCGCTGCTTTGCACTGAAAAGTAGCCCAGATAATTGTTTGCATTGAAATTTCCCACCCTCACAAATTGGTTTAGACAAAACAATTAAAAAAATTGTTACTTTACTTGATGACTCAGCTGATTTACTTTATCAGTTGACAATAAAATCCAAAAAGAGAAATGGACTTCGCTAAACAATTAACGGACAGCTATGTGAAACAGAGTGCTAGTGTACCCGCGGACTAATTTGTCAAAATCCGGAAACTCCACTAATGCCGAAGTCGTGTTGCGACAAGCACTTGACTAATCAGTCTCGAAATACACGTGCTTGTAAGATATCGGAAAAGATCCAGGGTCCGCCACTAAGCGGACACCAATGCGAATTAGAGCTTTAAAGTGAGAGGCAAGAAAAATCGGATTTATGAGGCCGAGGTCTGGTTGATCACGAAAGAACTTGATATTTGGAAAGTAAATACTAAAGTCATCAACTCAGGACATGGTTTTGGTGTACAAATGTTGTTTGAATGATTTATGGAACATATTTGAACTGATTCTTGATGAACCGTAAAAACTCTGACAGGGATTAATGGTAATGCACTGTTTCTTGTGATTAGGGAAAAATCAAAGCACGATGTGAAAGGAAACATCAGTGGGATTAGCTGTCTGATTGGACGAATTGATAACTTTTGCTTGTCTGTCCATCCTCTTCATTTACTTAAAAATCCTAGGTTTTCTACAAATATATCCAATTAGAGGAAGGTAGTGGACATTTAAAAAGATATTTTGCAGTATTGTGGGGTCGCAGGCACATTCACAAAGGTAGGTGTTTAACAATATACATATAAGAAATAAATGCTGCTTACTTTTATCAGGTGCCTTTTCGGCCTTTGGTGTAGATTTGCTTGTTTGCCTAGACGCAGCGCCTTTGTACACAAGTGAGGCGAACGGCTCATCGTTTTGAGAGAGCAAAATGTGATTGTCATTTTCCATTTTACCTAACATGTGTTCACAGCTTTCATCACAAAGGCTAACCAGGACATTTCCCACTGATTGACAGGAACACTGGCACCCAGTCGAGGAGTCCCTCCAGCTGGAAAATATTCCATGTCGCACACCGTCAGAGTCGACGCAAAAATCCACTGGGTGCCCATCCGCCTTGTCAGAGTGGAATTCTGCTTCAAAGACGATGTTATCTGTGCCTGAGGATGGGAATTTAGATTGTATCTCCTGCAAGCACGTCACCTCGGAGGATAGGGCGAGTAGAGTCATGAATAAAAATAGGAAATTGGGCTGTTTATCTTTGTGGAAATAGTGCAACATGTGAGAGAACTTCACTACTGTAGCCAACTGGTAGGCGCAACGACGTCGTGTGCATGAGCTTACGACGTCAACAGGGAGAAAGCGTTTTTCAATTGCCAAAATGGCCAATACGTGGTGGCAGGAAGAAGGGGAACAAAGTTCTGAGTGTTGAAGTAAAATGGCAATTAAGGCTACCTTAGGCTGACGGACGTGCATAGCGTAAGATGGATCGAAATGTGCCGCATTTTTATGATATCCGGAAACGCGTCATGTGTTTGTTTGCCCGTGTTTGCTCGTAGCCACTGTTATTGGTTTTGATTTGATGTGCTGTTCAGATTGCGCGACAGGTACGCGTCTCCCGAAAACTGTCAAGGCAGCTGGATGTGTTGCGCTAGCAAAACATGCGATCTAGTGTGCCCAGCCAACGATGTTTTATATACAGCAGGTGAAGATGCGTACGCCACAGCTGGTACCCAATCAGTATTTGACCTTCACCCAACCAATCACAAAAGCTCACCAACTGAGTCGGTTTGATTATTTTTTCTCTGGCACAAGTTGCAAGCGGCATGTTTACTCTCACGGTTTGAAAGCCTAAGCATGACTGTTACTAAACACTGTATTTTGATTCGCGGGTTGTGTGACGCTAAAGCGCTGTTTTACTGGTAGAAAGCAAACACCGAAATTTCTATTTCACGGGTAAACGGACCACTAATAACCAAGACGTGATTAAATTCCCTATTCTGTTTAAGCCTTGCGTGGGGTCATTCAGTTGGTCCGTATTTTCCTAGAATCAACTACTGCTGGGAAGCTAGAATGATTATTGAAATGCTGAGTATTCCTTCTCAAAATGTCAGTAGCTTTCGGAATTCCAATTATTGAAAATACAAAATATGAAACAGTGCTTTGGTTTGGAATTGAGAGAGCAGTGTAGGACACCACAAAATTCAAAAAGAAAGGTATGAGACTCGAGTGTCTAATATGCACACCCTCGCTTGGATTCAAACCGGGTACCGCTCGTAACGACCCCCATATCCTTTCATGCGACATAAATCGTGAAATATGAAGGTAGAAATTGCGATTTCTGTGTCAGTGGACTTCGTCACTGTTTTCTTTACGGCGCTAACTTTACTAAACATTCCCCAATTGAAATACTCACCCCAAATGCTCAGTACAAAAAAATAAGCTAATCCTTTGGAAGCGATGCAGATTTACTCCTCATACAGCCTAAATGTGCACAGATTTATTATTGCGTACACTTTTCAGAATGTGATCCTACGCCGAACAGCGTTCTTTGCCAGATTGTCATCTCAGGTTATTTTCTCAAGAAAAAAATGTTATGGCGATATTTACTAGTACTTTTTAATCTGATAAAATTTACCGAGCAGTCTACATTAACTTGCCCAATGACTAGAACTTTCGCATTTCATAAATTTACACGAACTACTAAAATATAATAATGGATCTCTGCATTATCGAAATATGAATTTCCTTTCCTGAGTATTGTATATCTAGAGAACGCCAGGTGCGAGGTGATACCTTCCTTATTTTATACCGACTCCACTGATAGCCGATTTTTTTAAAAGGAAAGCAGATGCTCTTAATGTTGCATTAAGAGTCGAAGTTTCTTCAGCACAGCCAAACAGTTTCCACGATTAAAAGATTAAAATGATGTTAATTTCAAAAACCCTTTCGGGAAACAGATCGAGGCATTAGGCATCAAAAATTCTTTTAAAAAAAATTCAGTTTGACTCAAGGTTACTATATCAGAAAAGCATAAGCAAATGGCAACAATAAGGTGACATAAACATTAATGGTGATTCCGTAAAGTTCGTTCAAACGACGACAACATGATTCGCAAAAAATGTGTTAAATGATTTTAAATTTAGATTAGATTTATAATAAAACAACCAAAAAGTTGGCGTCTCATGTCGCAGGTTTCCGCTAACGCATTGCATTTTAACAATTTCTTGTACTGCCTCTTGGTAACTCGCACCGATGATTGCTGACTAACAGATTGAAAGCAAAAATTGAGCCCGAAAGCAGTCGAAACCGCCGACATGACAGTCCTTGATGTCCTTTGACGCTGTCACTCGTACAAGTCATGAAGTGCAAGCCAAATATGATGCCATATGCAGGCTAAGGATGCTTCGATTCAACGGACATGTCAATGTAATGGTAGAAATACTAAGAATCACTGCTTGTGTTAGAATGACTTTCAAACTTGCAGTCCATGCAAGGTAACTTTGAAAAGCAGTGCAGAAAAGAGAGCTCGCCACAATCATCTGATTTGTATTTCCAGCTATATTCTCACGATAGACGGTGAAACGTGTCAAATCAGATTGCAATTAGTTACCCCAGCACAATTTGTCTAACTCCTACGCGATTTGCAGATTTCAGTGTAGTGGACGGCGAGACAAGTCGTGAGTTGCACACTAAATGATAAAATGCGGCTGTTGCAGCATAGATGCTTGAGTGGGCAGAGGTATGTCACAGAGCTGGTTTTTTGGCTCAACTAAGAATAGAAACTTCCTGTTCTGCCATGGCTAGTAATAGTTCTTCAAAGAGTATCGTACATGCGAAAGAAACAGGAGGGTTGCAGCCCACACACTACCTCTTATTCGATGCCAATTTGTTCCAAATACAATAAGCAGCGTTTCTGCAGTTTATGTAGGTGACAGGTAGTCGGCATCGACAAAATGCGTCTGGTGTGTTACTCCTCAACACAGCATCCATTCTTCATCCCCTAAAAGTAAACAGGTACGGGAATGTTGGAGACGAATTCTGGTCAGTTAATTTGTGATCTTCGCGAGTTGCAATACAATGGCATAGTTGGGGAATCAGTGAATGTTGCCGGATGTAAAATGAACGACAGATGAAAGTTCTTACAGCCTACAAAACATAGGTTACCCTAAGGATTCTTCCCCGGTATGATAATGCATTTATTGCAAGACGAGAAGGCAGTCATTTATTTGTGGTGAGTAGGGAAAATGATTTGTCTAGAATCGATTGCAATAACACCAATCACGTTTCATTGCACGGAAACACGCACGGTAAACTGCCATTGAAAGCACTGTGTTACATAAACAGAGATTTGCAGCGAGAAATCCAAAATCCACGTTCACGAAAACCCAGCCATGAAGTGCTTGTCGTGTTTTGCTTTTGGGCTAGGTG